CCCCCCCCCCCCCCCCTCCCTTTTTTTTTTTTTTTTTTTTTTTTTTCCTTTCGGTCGCTAGTAGGAAGCTTTTTGCACTCCACCACCTCTGGCCGCTGGGAAGACGTCATCGCTTCCGCCCTACTTCCTCCTCCTGTTGGCGGCGGTGAGAATCCAATATGGAGTAAATCGGTGGAGTCGAGAGATGGGGCTCGGACGGGGCGCCCTGCACCGCCTCCCAGGCGCACCTCCCCCGGCCGCCGACCGCTCCCCGGAACCCTGATTGGCCCGGCCCCCGGGGGCGACCCCGGACCGAGCCCCCACCCGCAGCTGGCCCTTCTCTCCTCCTCCTCTCAGCAGTCTCAGCCGCTCCACGGCGCGCTTGTTTTTCTCCTCCTCTCCCCCACCGCCGTCCCCTGCCCAAATCTCTCCCTCTCTGCTCGCTGCCGAGCCCCCGGAGCCCCTCCTGCGGAGCCCCGGGCGCTGCTGCGCTCACTCCTCCCGCAGCTTGCCTTTGCACCCCTTCCCCAAACCTCACCCGCGCTCCTATCGCCCTGCTTCCCCTTCTCCCTTCTGCGGCGCCCCTTCATCTCTCGCCGCTCCCCCTCCCCAACCAAATCGGGCGATCTCCGGAGATGTGAAGAAGGGGGGTGAGTGGACAGGAAGATGAAGGGAGCAAAGCTGCCCGCCGCGGGACAGGCGTCTAGGTGAACAGGAAAATGACCGAAGAAACACACCCGGACGAGTAAGTTTGGCCGCGGGGTGGGACGAGGGTGCCCCGCGGGGGTAGCGAGGCAGCCGGGGCTGAGGACGCAGGCAGGGACGCTGCTTGGTTGAACTTGGCGTGGGGTGCAGCTACTAGCCGGCCTGTGGGCTTTGGGCTGCGAGATTTCCCCCCGCGTTGTTGAAGTGAGGAGGGGGCAAAGACTGCTTAGGGCCGGCGGGGGCGCGCCTTGAGTCGGCGGGCTGGTGGCCGTGGCGGGGGCCAAGGGCGCGCGGGTGACCTCGGGGCGGTCCCCGCTCCCTCTCCGGGGACTCAAACACCCCCTCCCCCCCGAAATCTTCTGTGGCCGGAGCGAAAGACCTGACACCCCCGCTACGGCTTCCTGGGGTCGGTGGGTTTTCATGTAGTGACTTTGTGACTCCTGCCCCGCCGCTCGCCCCCCGGTCCCTTAGGGAGCCCACTGGGGCCCAGGCTCCGCCATTTCGTTTTCTTGAATCGCTCTCATTTGCATACCACATTTTCATTCATAAAAAACACGGCGGAGCCAGGGGAGGACTGGGCGCGGGCTGCGCTGGGGTCTGCGTGAGCAGGGATCCTCAGGCAGGTCGCCGTGCAGGAGCCGCCGGAGGGGTCCCGCGGCGCGTGTGATCGTGTGTGCACGCGCTTTTGGGCTTGGGATAGGCGCCCCGCGGGATCGGGGCCGCTCGGGGGCGGATCCGAGTCGTGTGCTGCGGGGGCGGGCGGGAGCGTGCGGGGCAATGTGCTGCGGGCCAGTGTGTGTATGTGAGTGTGTGTGTGTAAATGTATGTATCTGTGTGCGAGTGTGTGCGCGCATGCACAGGCGTGCGTGCCCGCCCCGCGGGCCCGAGGGTAACAATGCTCGGGGCGCTCCGCTGGAGGGGCTCCGGGGTGACCCGCCGCCCTCCCGGGCATCCGGACCGTTTCCCAGCCCGGGGCCAAGATGAGGCTCCGTCCAGCCTCGCAGTCGTGGAATCGGGTTTGGCTTTCTCCCACCCCCGCCCGAGGCGTTTCCAATTGGGGGAGCAGCGGAGGCAGGGCTCCTGGGCCCCGCGCCTGAGGTCGTCGGCTTTGGCTCCGAGTGGTCACCACACGGCGGCCCACGCCGCTGCTCAGTGGCTGTGCCCGCCACCAGCCACTTTTTTTTTTCTTTTTTTTTTCTTTCTTTCTTTCTTTTTTTTTTTTTTTTTTTTTTTTTTTTTTTTTTGTGAATAAGAAGCTCTCCTTTATTGTCACATGATATCCCTCCCTCCTCCCCTGCACATTCATAAATCCGGAGCCTGCCTCGGCTCCTTTCATTCAGAGCTGCCATTAGCTAAGGTAGCAGTGGCGCTGGCTTGGACGCAAAAGAGCCGGTTGGTAGCCACTGGGACACACCCTGGGGAGAGGCCCAGAGAGTGGGTTTGTGGAGTCGTGGGAGCTGCGTGTATCTGCTCGAGAGGCCCGGGGTCTTTTGCCCCTGCGAGCATTGACAGTCAATGCAGAGAGGGGAAGTGACTCAGGGCTGGTTGACAGGGAGGGCTTTTCTTGCAGCAGGTGACAGAATGCTGTGCTCTACTCTTAAGAGTACTACTTCACTTTTTTTTTTTTTTTTTAAATGCCCCTTTATCCTTTGGCATCTGCTGTTGCCAGGCTGGGCGCGAGAAGGTGTTGAGAGGGGTGGTGTATGGGAAAGAGAATTTCCTTCCTTTGGGGATCTTTGACTGCAGTAACCCCTCGTCTGCCAGACACCCGCACCTGGAGAGCATCCTGCCTCGTGTGCCGGTTGCTGCAGTCCCACCACCTGTGCTGGTCTTTTCAAACACTTTGCTTTGCTTTCAGGAAAGGGTAAAATGAAGAAAAAAAAAAAAAAAAGTTGCTCTTGTGGGGAAGAAATATGCTGGTGGGCCTTGCTCCCATACCAACTTGACTAATAGACAAGTGTTTTTATAGGTCTTCCTCTGTTCTGGCACACAGAGATAGTAGTAGCGGGAGGGACAGTTGCCTTGCTCTGATCTTCAGGATTCTTGTTGCAGATTGGTTCCATTCGCCCTGCCTTGGGTTCCTTGGCTCCATCCCTTGGGAGTACTGGCCTAGCCTCTCCCTTTTCACCATAGCATGTCAGCTTTGCACCTACCCCATCTGATAGCCAAAGCAAAGGGATTTGGGGTGGGTTCACCAGCAAGAAATGACTATGTCTCATTTCATGCTTTCAGAGCAACTCAGCATGGAACTGGCTGCCTCCACTGCTGTCAGAAGCCCAGTTGAGACAATGGGTATTTGAGGACAGGTTCTGGTTTCAGTTAGAGAATCAGAAAGCCGTGGCGCCTTAGCCCAGTGCAGAAATGGCCTTCCTGGGATTACTTTTAATGTAATGACCTTGGCATGAGACATGAAACGTAAGCCCCTAAGAACACAGGCTGTAGGGGCTGTAAACTGCCATTTGTGGACACTGTTCATTGTATTGTTCAGGTTCTTACGTAATGACCCATCTGAAAAATTCCTTTTAAATGTTAGTGCCTGGAAGAAGGTTTCTCTCTGGGTTGCAGGACTTGATGTGATTGCCTTTTTGTTGTTGGGTTTTTTTGCAACCACTGTCTGAAAGCTCAGAGCTAAAATTATTGCTTGATTACAGTGGTCGTAGTTAGTCTAGCTTTTTGCTAGATTTATATACCTCTCTAGTATGAATTTTGATCTTTCATTTTCTTTTCTAATCGCTTTATGTTTGAGGTCCTACAGATACCTTTTGGAAGTAGACAAGGTGTATTACAATAAAGCAGTTTGGTGACCTCAAATGGGAGACCTATGGGAGAAATAGTTATGACTTAGGTAAAGTGGATTTTCTTTTTTGTTGTTTTTTTTTTTAAGATTTTATTTATTTGACAGAGATCATAAGTAGGCAGAGGCAGGCAGAGAGAGGAGGGAGCATGCTCTCTGCTGAGCAGAGAGCCCAATGGTGGTGCCCCTAAAATAGATTTTCTTCATAGTCCATATATATTTAAGGTTTTTATTAAATGGTACAGGTGTATAACAGCTATGTTTAGCGTCAGTACAGTAAGTCAGAATCTCGCAACTGTCAAAATTGTGCCTAATTTTAAAAAATAATAAGTGTTTTGTCTTCTCATACTCTTTTCTATGTCGATTTAAAACTTCTCGAGGCAGGGGCGCCTGGGTGGCTCAGTTGTTAAGCGTCTACCTTCAGCTCTGGTCATGATCCCAGTGTCCTGGGATTGAGCCCCACATCGGGCTCCCTGCTTAGCAGGAAACCTGCTTCTCCCTCTCCCCCTGCTTGTGTTCCCTCTCTCACTGTGTCTCTTTCTGTCAAATAAATAAATAAAATCTTTAAAAAAAGAAAAAATATTCTGACCTTTCTCCTCTGATCCCATTCCAGCTACAAATGCATGTTAAGATTTACATTTCTACAGATTTTAAAAAATAATTTAGAAGTAAAAAGCATCAACAAACTGTTGAAAAGAATCTTTTGTCCAAGAGAGTGGAAAAAAATTTTTTTGATCATGTGCATTTTGTGTGTATCTTGAAAGCATTTGATTATGGTCTTGAATGATTTGGAAATTTGTTGACAAAATGAAGAAACCCTTCTCAAGTGAACTTAACGCAGAAGACATCGGCCTACCATGTAGCTATTCTGTCCCTCTCATAAATGCTTCTCTGCAGGACACATCTTGCTGAGAATGGACTTTTAGTCGTGTTTTTAGTCATGTTTTTCCTAATGTTGAAAGGTCTTCCATTTAAAAAAAAAAAAAAAAAAACAGATATTTTTGCCTAACCATTTCAAAGAAATGAGACATCAGAATGTCCTGTCTCTGAATACTTGAGCTTACTTTCCACAAGATGAGGATACTCTTCCAGGAAACCGCAATACCATCATCACACTTTACAAAATTAAGAATCATTCCCTTTTGTCTTTAACGTTCAGCGCAGTTGACTGAATATGTCTTTTACAACTGTCATTTCAGCCAGGTGCCAATTAATGATCCTGAGTTAAAGCCATTTAACTTATACTTACAGCTCAAGGCTCAGCCATTTGCTCACTTTCTGATCTAAGGCAAGTTACTTATCTTTCACCTTGGCTTTTTTTTTTTTTTAAAGATTTTATTTATTTATTTGACAGAAAGAGATCACAAGTAGGCAGAGAGAGAGAACAGAAGGGAAGCAGGCTCCCTGCTGAGCAGAGAGCTGGATACGGGGCTTGATCTCAGGACCCTGAGATCATGACCTGAGCCGAAGGCAGAGGCTTTAACCAACACTGAGCCACCCAGGCGCTGCTTTCACCTTGGTTTTACCTGAGTGAATAAAATGGGAGTGAATGTTAGCAATTTCATGGAGTTGCTATGAAAATTAAAGGAGATATCCTATGTAAAGCTTACTGTCGAGCACCAAGTATCAATCAGGTGTCTCCTGTTGGCTCTTAGCAGGCCATTGGGATAGGTTTCTTATAGGCTCAGCTTGTTAATTTTCAAATAATCCTATGAAGGAGTTACCCCATTATTTTATTATTTTTTAAAGATTTTATGTATTTATTTAGAGAGAGAGCATGTGCACACAAGAGCGGTGGTGGGGAGGGGCTGAGAGAGAGTCTCAGGCAGACTCCCCACTGAGCGCAGAGCCCAAAGCGATGTGGGGCTGGATCCCACCACCCTCAGAACAGCCGTGAGATCATGACCTGAGTTGAAATCAAGAGTCAGAGGCTTAACCAACTGAGCCACCCAGGTGCCCTGGAGTTACTCCATTTAACTGATGAGGAAGCTTAAGTTGCTTTGCCTAAGACAGCAAACATTTTTTTTTTATAGCACTTTAGTCATTTAGTCTTCTCAACAGTCCTATGAGATAGATGGGGTATTATTACCTCCATTTATAGATGGGGAAACTGAGCCCCAGAGAAGATGAGTAACTTGTCCAAGATCGTATCATTAGTAAATGAAGGAGTTAGGATTTGACTCCAGCAGCCTGGCTCAGAAAGGACTTGTTTTGTTTTGTTTTTAATATTTTATTTATTTATTTGA